AAGTTTCTTGCAATTGCTTGCAATCTTGCCATACCTAAACAAGCTTGCAACGAAAAAAAAAGAAAAAACAAAACAGCTGTTTTGGCAGCTGTTGCTCTTCATGTGGAAGTGGTATAATGCAAGTACAGCTGCTTTATTTTGATGTTGCAATTCTGCAACAGAGATGTTTTCGAACTCTTGCAATTTTAGTATAGCATTCTTAAATTTTGTGCACTTTGGAATGACTTTGCAAGACAGAGTAACTTTTATTGATCAGTGTTCTGTTTCTCGCAATGCAACTGTTATTATATTTACTTTAAAATAAAAAAATAAAATACTTTTTAGAATAATGTTATGTAGAGTTTTAAAGATTTACTTTTTTATTATTATTTTTTAGCTTACCTTTCTCATCATTTTGCTCGTCGGTGGATAGTTTACGTTCAACAGGACTTGATTTACCAGATGCGCTAGCTCCTTTTTCATCGGTGGTACCTGTGGAGCTTGTTGTTGAAGCATCATCTTTCGCGCTCTTATCTGGTACTAAGAGTTGTTGTCCCGGATAGATGAATGAGCTATTCAAACGATTCAAATGTGTCAATTCCGATGGAGTGGTATCAAAACGAGCAGCTACTGAGGTTAGTGTATCACGATTGCCCACAGTGTAGGAGATTGTGGGTATTGTGGGCAGCGAAGATTTTTTGCGTTCATCTGTAAAAACAAAAAAAAAACCGGAAAATGAAAATTAAATAAAAAATTAACAGAAAACTGTAAAAGAAAATAATTTCATAAAGAAAAAAAATTAATTGGAAAAAATTATTATTTAAAATGAATAAAATAGAGTAGTAATTTTTTATGATAGCACAGTTAATATTGATTTATTTTAACCATGTAATAATCTTTATTCAACTGAAAATAAAAATAAAATTAATTTATTTTGTGTGTGTTTACTTTTCTCAAATGTTGTTGTTGTTATTGTTGTTTGTTGTGGCGTTTGCTGAAAAACAATAAATTCATCGCTCGCAGGGAAAAATAAATGATGAAATTGTGGTGTTGTTGTAGGTTTTTGTTGTTGATGTAATTGCAGCAATTCTTGCTGTTCAGTAGCAACAACAGTATCGCTAATGCTGTCATCATCGTTGCAATTTTTTAGCGGATTACTCAGATAGATCACAACAAATTCACTTAAATTACTTTCACAGTTGCGCTTATAAATTTCTACACACTCCATTTTTATATGTGTTGTATATATAAAAATTTGTTCTTAAAAATATTTATTTTTAAACTTTATAAAAAATATTTCGAACATTTTTTTTCACTTTAATTGTTTAGTGGCTTTTTGTATAAAAAAAAAATTTTTTTTAAATTATTTCAACCTTCGAACATATCAAAAAAATGTCTAAAATTTGACAATTTCAGTTGCATTTGGTTTGTCAAATATTTTTTGTATTGAAGTATTTCTTTTATAAACAATTAACAAAAATTTGATTATGAATTGAAGCAAAGCAGTACAGAGAAACGCTGACTGCGTCGTTTTCTATTGAACGTGTTCGACTTCTGCTCTACTCAGTTTGTTTCGTTAAGTGCCTTTACTGAGGGCAAAATTGTAACTAAAATCAAACAAACAAAAATTATGAGGCAAATATGAAAACTGCAGACTTTAAGTGTTAATGTCGCTCAGGCAAAACTGCTGTGTTTTCTGATAAGTTAGCATTTATCAAACCGGCAATATACGTTAATTGTTCATAAAGTATTTATGTTTCAGTTTTAAGGGTTCATGGGATATTTGAAACCCTTTAGTTGAAACCACTTCTTAAACATTTAGCAGCAGGTGGAATGTCAAGCTCTTAGCAAGATGTGAACAAATTAAACTAATTATTATATTGTTTAATTATATATCATATTGCATATATTTGTTTACAAACATTGCAATACATAATCCAAAGGTGATTTTAATACTACAAGCGCCTTGGACAAGATTGATTCGGTGATTCGTACTATTACTGAGCATATGATTGAATTTAAATTAGCATAGCTATTCACTACAGCGACTTCGGTAATAATATTGTACCAGATGACTAGTCAGATCAAGTGCAAAGATCAGAAGATGTAGGTTAGGTTATACCGGCGATACTTACGGGACGCACTTAGGCCTATTGGCTCATTATGTTACCGTATAATAAAGACTCTCAGAATTTAAAGCCACCTAGATCTTAAGGAAGAGGGCCCCAAAAGTGTGCAGTCGCCCTCGTGCATGAGCTGCGCAAAGACAAAGTAGATAAGAGGCACCTTCATTCTCTTCCCCTCAGCTGCGACAGGTACGATTCAAGGGAGATTTAATCGTCTATATAGTTATCTAATCCGCAATGAACTGTAAGCAAACCTAGCATAAGATTGATATCTCTACGGGGCATCTCAATGCGAGAGATTGGATTTAATGAAAACCCAATGAGAAAGAGGAAATAAGAAAGAGATTAGAACGACGCTTACATCACCAGCCGAAGATTTTAAGTGGCTTTTCCAAAATTGCTCTACACAGAAAAATGTTTAGTCTTGAATTTTGAAAATTCCTGGTTACGACACTTACATTACCAATCGAACATTATAAGCGACCTTCTCGAGATTTGCCCTCAATAAAAAAATATCTAGTCTGGAATCTTGGAAATGCTATTTGGTGTTTAAGAAATATCTTAATGAGGTTACGGTTACGCTGAAAGTTTGCGTTTTCTTATTTAAATTATCACAAATTACTGTAAAAAGTATCGCAATCCTATGTCAAGTCATCTGGGATTTTTTGATTAATTTAAAATTTATTCTGCGTTGACAGTTAAGAAATTTTTTCTTAGTGTCATCGAATTCTAATGGTTTATTTCATACTATGTATTTAATTTTTCTACATATATAAATTTCACATTTTTGGAAGTATGTTACATAATTATGATGATCCTAGGAATCCATTTAATTTTGTTTACGCACTTTGTTGCGACATAAAACTTGAAGTGCTGAAAACAATTTTAAACCCTCTATGAAGCCCAAGAAGCTCTTTAATGGGACGTCTTGTAACTGACCAAAATTCTTGTGAAGATAAGTTCTTAGCATAATATCTGAATTTTATATCATACATTATTACGAAAAATGTAAAATGACATTCATTCTAGGACGCAAGTAGATCTTTTATAAGTTTTTCGCATAATGAAAACATTCGCAATAGTTCGGAATTGAAAAATGTATTTACTTCATTTAATAACGTAACATTTAATAACACATTATGTGTTTTAATATAGGAAGACTCAATTAGTCAAAATTGGCAGAAGACTTCAGCTTATTTTATAGTTTAACAATGTGTCTATATCAACATATTGCAGTTATTGACTACTTTCACAATTATTCGTTTTGCTCCAATAAAATTTATATTAATAAACAAACTAAAAACATGAGAATTATAATCTCAGTAACTTCCAACAGTTTTTATTAATCTACACTTTTAAATTTTTATGTTAGAAGATAATATTTATACTCGGTTATATGTAGATACATTATGAATGGTTAGAAAACTGGTTAAAAAGCATTTAATTAGAAGTTCATTAGCAAATAAATAAAATTAACGAGATGATTGCAACATTTTTATACCTTTTACAGATATGTTATTTCTATCGTTGAAAGGTTTATACTAATAATAATATTATATTAAACACTAATACTTAAGAGATCTAATACCAAATGGAAATATCTAATACTGAGATTTTTATACAGATGTTATATAAAGTAATGAATAATTCTTGTATGTTTTTAAATTATAAATAAAGAATACTACTACTACTATAAAGTAATGGTTTTGATAAAAGTTAACTTAAATGATTTTTATGATTAGAGTGAACCAAAACTCTGCTTATCTTAACTCTGCTTATTGTTTACTGTTAGAAATTTGTGTATAGAAATCGGTTTCTATTCCGCAATAGTAGATATTCTAATATCGTTAGTAGAAAAAATCACTTGAATAAATAGATAATAGATAATAAGTGAGGTTATGTGTTATTGCTATTATCATTATGTGGGTCCTTAAGATCTATTGTGCCCCTGTTATGTTATGTGTAATCATGTAGTAAAATGTGTTTTAGAACTTATTTGAAACTATAATAAAGAAAAGTAATATGTATTTTTTAAGAATTTTTTTTAGAACTAATATTTAGTGTGTTGAAACCTAAAAAATCAGTCAACAATTTATGACTCCACACTATTTTTGACAGAATACGTTGATTGTAGAAAACATTTTGTTTTAATTCATATATGTTTTGAATCGATATTTTTATTTATTTTGAAGTTATTAAAAGAACAAAAAGAAAAAATCTAAAGGAAAATATTTAGCTTATCGGAGAAAACCGGGATTTCTTTTTAGAAATTGTCTGGTACATGAAATATTGACATTAATTGTTGATACATATTAATATTGACAATAATATCATTAAAAAAAATGTAAAGTATAAATAAATAATCACAAGGAATAAAGAAAATACTATTATTATTGCTAACAATAAACGTATCTAGGCTTTTTAAAATATATTATTAACCGAATGTAAAAAGATTGTACAATATACTTAATAAAGACCTGTTAAATCATTTTCTTTAGCTCTCTAATATCTTTAAAAAAATCATGCACTTAAAACTGATCACTTATATTAACATTTTTGTTAAATTTGTTTTTATTGATTATTGAGTACTGCAATATAATTAGAAATGTTCAAGCGTAATCATTCGCTCATTGCTTGCGAAGATACTTAGCAACCTAATAGTTTCACTAAAATGCATTTCAAAATCTCAAGTTCATCAATGTCATCAATTCATGCATTTCCTTACTTACATAAAAGATTGACCAGACATAAGCATAACATAACATATTGATATTAAAAATGTCTAATAAAATCACATACTGTTGAAATAGAATATTAGAAAGATATATAGACTTACATAGACATATAGAAACATAAATAGAAATTATTTGTAATTGAATTTAATGAAATGGTATAAGAACTAATGAATATAATTGAAATGTTAATTCACTAAAGATAAATATAAATAAAAATAATACATATAATAGATAAGTATATAAAAATTGAAATGTTAATTCAGTAGAGATAAATATCTATAAGAACAATATATAAGACAAATACTCCTATATAAAAACTGAAATACTTTTGAAAAAACAAAAAAAAAAATATAACTTGATGGAAATGGATAGAAAAAAATTAAATATATATATAAAAATATTAAACTAAAATAAGTATATATAATATTTAATATATAATAAAAGTTTGAAGACGCCGAATTGCAAACGATATTGGATGGAGATGACACTTTGGGTCAAAAGCAAATGGCAGAAATGTTAAATGTTGCACAACAAACACTTTCTGACCGTTTAAAAGCTATGGGAAAGATCCAAAAGTGTGGAAAATGGGGATGGAAAACCGAAAAAACACTTGTGAAATTTTGCTTCAAAGACACGAAAGAAAATCGGTTTTGCATCGGATTGTTACTGGCGATGAAGATTTATTTTATGAATCCTAACCGGAAAAAATCATGGGTTAATCCGGGACAACCATCAACATCGACTGCAAAACCAGATCGATTCGGCAAGAAGACAATGCTGTGTGTTTGGTGGGACCAGAAAGGTGTGGTGTACCACGAGCTCTTAAAATCTGGTGAAACCGTTAATGCTAGTCGCTATGAACAACAAATGATAAATTTGAACCATGCATTGATCGAGAAACGACCAGATTGGGCCAGAAGACACGGCAAGGTAATTCTGCTCCATGACAATGCACCTGCACACAAAGCAAAACGGGTTCAGGATGCAATCAAAACACTTGGCTGAGAGCTGCTACCCCACCCGCCATGTTTACCAGACTTGGCTCCTTCCGACTACCATTTGTTTTCATCGATGGGACACGCATTGGCTGAGCAGCACTTTGATTCCTACAAGGAGGTTGAAAATTGGTGTCTGGTTGGTTTGCTTTAAAAGACGAACAAATTTTTTGGCGTGATATCCACAAATTGCCAGAAAGGTGGTCAAAATGTGTAGAAAGCAATGGCCAATACTTTGAATAAAATGTTTTTTACTTTCCTATTAATAATTAGTGTTTTATTTTCACCAAAAAACGCTCATTTCATACCGATACACCTGGTATACATTTTTTGTATCTTAGATATAAGAAGTGACCACTATACATATTTATATTTAATATTACGCTGGAAACGAT